TACAGTTTTTGGAACGTACATGTGGTGGGGGGTGAATGGGTCAAGGAGGCCCTTATTCAGGCATACCAGCTGGTGCACTACTTTTTCCATGTTATTATGTTTCTCTAGGTATCTGGTCCCGCCTATTTTACTGCATCCAGAAGATAAATGCTGTACAGACTCCTCACTTATATTACTCAGGATTACTGTAGGATTATAATTAATCGTATTATTTATACAGGGTGAGTTTCCTACGATGTTCTCTATGGGTATCTCGGAAACTACTGGAGTTAGAGAGTCGGTTAAATGAGAAAAGAATTGCAGCAAATCGGTGCCGGTGTCGGCGCCGGCTTTGCACCCGTTCCGACAGTTGTATTTAATTCTGTTGTATTTGCCGGTCCCCGACTATTTTACGGGATCGGAGTATATGTGAAGGAGCTAATTTATTAATATTGCAATCGATTTCAGCTCCGGCACCGGCACCGATTTTGCCGGTGTGTGTGAAAGCGCTCTAAGCCATGAACTTACTAGATATTTCGAAAAAAACAAATTTCGGCTATCTCAAAAATTGTCCCTAATTCCATTATAATCTATTTTAGACAAAGTTTTCAGATAAATGTTGTAGATAATCACATCCTAGATGAGACTGTGCCCTCCGTTTTTTAAAGCCTGTCATTTTTGACATATGACACAAACATATGTTTTTTTAAATGGAAACCATAGATTTTCCATGACTGCATAAAAAGCGCCATTTTTTAAGCTTTTCAGCGATATAAGCTATAATACGTGTCTTTCGAAAAATTACTGAGTTATAGCCAATTCTTATCATTTTTAAACAACTTAGTTAGCCATGGGAACAAGTTCAATCGGCGTCTCAGTAATGTGAAACTGTCAAAACTTTGTAAATTGAAATAAACAAAATTGTAAATATGAATTTTTCAAATAAAGAAAAGCGTGTAGGAATATTGGTTCAACTTTCCTTGGCCATACATTTCCAAGGATATGTTGACCAGTGAACGTTACTTACGTTTTTTAGAAAAGTTAAATTTAGATACTCGCGCATCAATAGAGTGGTTCCAACATGACTTTCATTATGACACTCCCCCTTATAATATATTTATATCATAATTATGTAAACTCAGAGATAGGAAGAGGTGGATCAATTGCATGGGCCTCCTCGATCACCTGACCTATCCATTTTAGATTTTTTTTAACAAAGTTTACAAAAGAACTTATGAATTAAGAGACTCGAAGAGGCGGTACGGGAGAAGTTTATTGAAGTCGACCGGCCGTTCTGTGGGAAAAGCTTATAATTCAGTTTTAAAAAGATGCATTTTATGTACTCAAAACAATGGCGGTTTTTTTTTTGAACATTTGCTAAAATATCTTAAAATGTATGTAGTGATATTAGTTTTTTAAGTTTTAGTTTGTGTAATGTGAATTGTAAAGAACCGTTTAATAAAATATTCTGTCTTTTTATAAGTAACAAATCATAACAGAATAAGAATACCATACCAACTAAGTGAAATTTGTCAAGAAAGATAAGAATTGGCTATAACTCAGTAATTTTTCGAAAAAAACATATAGCTTATATCGCTGAAAAGCTTAAAAATGGCGCTTTTTATGAAGTCATGGCCAACTATGGTTTCCATTTAAAAAATCATATGTTTGTATCATATGTCAAAAATGACAGGCTTTAGAAAAAATCGTAGAACACAAGCATATTAGGGATGTAATTATCTACAACTTTTATACTTACTAATAGATTATAATGGAATGAGGGACAATTTTTAAAATAGCCGAAATTTGTTTTTTTCTAATATCTAATAAGCCACGAACTTTTTCAAAAATCCTAAAGTCGCATATTTATGACCCTACAAAACTGCAATTCTTTCCCATTTAACCGACCCTCTATCTCCAGTAGTTTCCGAGATACCCATAGAGAACATCGTAGGAAACTCACCCTGTATATTACTATTTATTTTTACTACTTTTATTACTGTACTTTTTTTATTATATTTATATATTTACTAGTTTGTGGGGCGTTCTTCTAAAATGTTATAATTTATATGATTATTTTGAATGCCGTGTGAGACTGGTCTTGGTCTTGCACAAAAAGCAAGACCAAGGCTAGTGTAGGATGCAGAAAAATAAGGGCAAAGCCAACATTGTGCGAACGAATATTTATCAGTGCTATTAAACAACAGGCCTAAACAAGGTTTGACGCATATTATTATATATTTCGAAATATCATCCCACCATTCACTAACTGAACGGGATTTCCACACACCCTGATACAAAAAACGTATTTAATAAAAACATGTTTTGTTCAGGCTGTAAACTCATCAATATGTTAACCATGATGCGTTTTTAAATAATCTGTTCTATTAAATTTAGCTTTATAGAGGCAATTACAAATACCATTTTATCCAAAAATGGAAACCAATTCATAAACTCTGTTATTTAAAAAAATATATATTGTCGATAACTGGCTGATATGATTTTAATGCGTTTGATTAAATTTTAATAAAATTTTACTAAAAATTCATTTAGTAAAAATAGTTTACAAAGTTTGGAACGAGTAACTTAACAATAAACATTGCAATTTTCATTTTTTTTTAATTTTCGTTTTAATTCAGTGATCTATAATAGCACTATGTTTAATATAATACAAAAGTATAATTATTTGGGATAATACTAGATATTTATAAGTCTAACTATTAAATATCATTGCTACATTACAATCAAGTTCTAGTTCACATTGGAGTCTTATTTATAGCTAGCTGTGTTCGTGACTGCCGATACAAAGTTCAAAATAATTTGCGCTACATAGATAATTTGAATGATATTAATAATTCAGAACCGCTTAAATTATAGCCAATTCCGAAATAATTTTTCTCTTGAATGTTGGATTATTATTTATGGAAAACTTGACGCTAATTATTTACAGCTGAGCTTTATTTTGTGGTTACTGGTGATTTTGTGGACAAAATATAGTAATATTCGCAATAAAGTGTGATTTAAGTACAGTTTTTTATTAATATTTTAGATGTTAGTAGCTTATTAACAATGATGCTGATGTGAAATCTAAATCGCCAGATTCAACATGTCCAATATCATGGTAATTAGATAACAGGCGATATATTTTATAATTAAAATTAGGCTGTATTATTTTTCAGAGAAACCATAATCAATGTAGATAAATAATTGAATAGATCAGTTTTCAAGAAAGGTAGTTTATAGCATGATCATATCTACATTAAGAATTTGTTATAATATTATTATCACATAATTTTTCAACTATTAACGATTATTTTAAGTTAAAGTTTGCAAATAAAAGTGCTTTTTATGGAATTAAAATAACCTTTCCTACAATATAGGTATTAAAAAACACAATATGAGTTTTCATAATATAAAAATTCAAGTTTACATAATATAAGAAATTATAGCAGAATATATTATGTGAAATAATAGAATACCTGAAATAGTATTGAAAAAATTAAACATATCTAATTACAAGTTAAATAATTGGTTGCTGCAATTGGTTTGAAGCTTAGGTTTTTGAACTGAATAATTATGAGAGATAAAAAGTATTATCTTTAATTTACTTCTAATGTGTGTTTATTTTGTAGATTAAGTAAAAATAAATACCTATTACTTATATCATGTCATTATTTTCATTACTTTTAATTAAATTAAGATGATTTAATGTTTATGATGGAATTTTAAATGTTCTTTTATCTGGCTATTTAATTTTGCTTAGAAATTTCCATAATAATTACTTATGTTTTTGTTCCTTTTTTTTTCTTCTTATAATTAGTCAGTCTTAAATATTTTCTTTATACCAGATTTATCTTATAAAATAAAGTTGAACATATTTTAACAAGATTTATGCTTAGGTACATAATATACAAAATGTATTGAATTTTACGTATAATTTAAAAATTCAATAATATAGAAGGGGTTACCCTTCAATTCAGGGGTTACCCTGAAGTTTATTATAATATCAAATTTTCCAGACCACTTCTTAATATACCTTCTGCTACACTCACCGCTACGAAAAACGGGCACCTTAAAATTTTGATGTACTTTAAAGTTTTATATATGTTGTTTTAGTGAACCGATTTTTGTGATTTTTTAAGCAATTTGTAGCCAAATTATTTACCTTTTTAGTATCTCTTTCTAAATTAAAAAGTAAAGGTTCCATTTGTCAATTACACGAGGAAAAACATAATGTTGATATTTTGGTGAATCTAAAAATAATTTTATCATCTAGGTGCATCTTTTCTCGATAGTTTCTTCTTTGGTTCATCTCAATAGTTTTTTTGGAGATATTTGCTGTTGAAGAAGACGCTAACAGTTTTTCGTAATTTTTACATTAAAACCGTTCTTTTGCTTTTAGACCTAGTTAACAGATCTGTGAAATAGTGGTTATGATTTATGTAAGATCACTGTCTTTGAAAAACCATATTATTACGGTCTATTGAACAGTTACTCTAGTAGAAATGGTTGTGAATGGTTTTAAGTCCAGAAATTATCTCAACCATGATCATTTAAATAAAGCAGCAAAGTTGCCGTAACTTCTTAATTTAAAACCATCTCTACTATAGAGTAAACATCACCGTAGAAATACTTATCACCGTAGTAATATCTCCAATAAAAAAAATCGAAAAAAGATATACCTAGATGATTTTCAAATTCCTTGTTTTGCTAACCACAGGCTGTTCAAAGTTTCACCAAAATACAACATTTTATTTTCCCTCGTAAAATAGACAGATGGGAACTCATTTTTAATTTAGAAAGAGATACTAAAAAGTCAAATAATTTAACTACAAATTGCTTAAAAATCATCATCATCGCTAGAACTAAATATAATTAAATCTCAAAATACATGAACATTTTAAGGTTCCTGTGTTTCGTGCCGGTGAGTGTATATCAATCGATGTAGTAGGAGACTTCATACATAAATTAATTGTGTACAATTATTTTATCTAGTATTTAATAATATTACTTTATTGCAGGTGAGAAGGAGCAGAATAAGCAAGCCTGCACGATGATCCTGAGCAAAGTGGTGGAGGATCCGCAGAGCGGCACGTGCCTGAACGTCTCCTACGCTGACGTCACCGGCCCCGTGGCCAATTACAATCCAACCGGATCACCGTTCGCGCAGCAGCAGCCGACGGGTACGGGCGCATTCAGCGCATCCACGGCCAGTCTGAACGGAACGCTCAGCGCAGCAGCCGTGCAGCAAGGGTTGGTACTGAACGGAGCGGGCGCGGCAGGTTTGAGCCTGAGTTTAAATCTGACGGCGCCTGGGCAGAGTATCAGCACCGTTACTGCGCAACTGCTCGATCATATTAAGGTAATTTTTGAATTTTATGTTTTCCGAGTAACCATTTTTGCTTTTAAAATACCTGTACTGTGTACTGGAAAACTAAATTTACTCTTATTATTTTTATCATAAATAATCAATTTCTGTACATATCACTAACCCAAATTTAGTGGTGGGCAAAACTGGTATATTTGAATCTTAGATAAAACAGTAGTATTTACAGTATGTCTCCGGATTGTCTTTACAACAGGAAAAACTTTTTTATTATTGAAATTTTGAGAAAAATGCATTTTTCATAAAACTTTTTGCTTGTTCTAAAATGATTAACCCCGTTTATACTTTTCCAACTTTCAATACCATTTTAGAGAAAATTTGAAATAATATGAAAATATTGTTGAATTTTTTCCTAAAAATCAAAAGGCGTTTCTATGGTAAAATTATTTCGATTTCATTCTTTGATATAGTCTGTGAAACGAATAACTTTGAATTTGAGAGTTCCCGCGGGCTTTCTAGTGTTAATTTTATTAGGTTAGCAACTTGCGACCATGCTGACGCAATGCCGTCTCTAATAGAACAGCCCCGTGGCGAGATTTTTGACGTCACGCTAGTTAGATACTACGGATTGATAAATATGTTGTAGAATACATGGAAAACATAATATACCTCGGTTTGTATTTTAAAAATGATATAGTTTATATGAAATATACATAATATACAGTTAATAAATACAATAGATATATACCTATTTATAGTAATAAATACTTTGGCAAATGAACCATACAAATGCAGCAAATGTTTTACAATATACAAATAATGAATAGGTACATAAGATAATGGGTAAAATGTAAAATATATTTTAAATTTTGGGGTTTGAAAATCGATCTAATTTAACAAAAAACATTTAATATCTACTAATAGTGATGTATTATTGTTTGTATTCACAAAATTTTATATATATAGCAGTAGAAGTTATATATATATATATATATATATATAGGGCATATATATATATATATATATATATATATATATATATATATATATATATTTTGCAAGTATCAATGTTCCAAAAATTATATTTGCAAATAATACAATATCATAGAAAAAAAGATGTCAGCGATGGCTATGAAATAAAAATCACTGTCATTTTATATGTAAAATTATTCTAAAATCTTTGATTTTCTTGGGATTTAGGAAAAACGCTGATTAAGTTTTCATTTGGTTTTTCATTATTTTTTTTTGGTTTAAAAAAAACGTTTTACTATAACCAAAAATACAAGGAATAATTATGTTTTTCATGTATTCTACAACATATTTATTAATCCGTAGTATCTAAGACGTATCTAGCGTGACGACATAAATCTCGCTCCGAGGCTGTTCTATTAGAGACGGCATTGGTACTTAGAAATGTCAAAAGCTGATGACATTTTACTTTCGACAATTATGACATTTCTTGTTGATTTTTGCAAGAATAGGAAGAACTGTCACTTAGTTTATTATTTTCCTTTTCTATTTCACGAAAGTAAAAAGAGTTACCTATCTGATTCGTTCAGGCACTCAATTTAAAGAATATCAGTAACTTTTTTGATAGAGGGATTTTATATTTGCCATGTTTGTATAAAATAACGGTCAAAATTCAAAGTTATTCATTTTATAGGCTATAGATGATTATTATTAATTTTGATTAACGTCATATTTTGGCCGTTGATAAAATATCACATTTTCCGATAATTATTATCAATCAGCCTTCCTTTTTTTAAAATAGCAAAAAATATGGCTTTAATTAAAATTCTATCAATAACAATCTATCAAAGAAAGAAAACAAAATTATATTTCCTTAGAAACGCGTTTTGATTTTTAGAACTTAAATTAAACTAAATTTTCATGTTTTTTAATTTTCTCTTTAACAGTATCGAAACTTGGAAAGGTATAAACGGGATTAACCATTTTAGATTTGTTGTTTCAGATAAGTGATTTTTTCATACCAGGGTTCCAATTCTGTAACTTAGAACACGCTAAGCACTTTTAGACGCTTAGCGTACCTATATGACGTTAATTTTCGCATATCGGGCATTTAACTACGGATTTGGGTATTCTCATTTGACGCGCTTTTTACCGATTGTGCTAAGCAATTCGAAAACTGTTACTTTAAAGGATCGTTTGGCTTGTCGAACTGTCAGTAAAAATAGAAAAAATTGTGATTTTGTGGGTTATCTTGCTCTTTAGCGAAAATTACTTCTTATTTTGAGGAATTTAATAAGTAATTGATAATTTACGACTTGGCAACTATAGATATTGTTTACAACATCGAAAATGCTGAGAAACGTCTTCAACATTTTCTTTGTATAATAAGAATAAGGACAAATCTATAGGAAAATAGGTTGACATAACTCAACAATAGGTTATGAAACATACGTAACATTGACATTTTTTATTGTTTTATTTACATTTGACTATTAGATACCTGAGAAATTGCGATGCTGTCATTATGTGCTCAACGCGTATCCAGAAAATGGTTCGCACGGCAACGAGAATACCAAAACCGACTGCTTGGCGTTCCGCTCATCGAATACTTTCGCTACCGCTTTGAAAGCATAACGTTTTTATGCCAAAGTGACAGAATTCGGTTTGGAATTGGTTCGGTTTTGGAATTGGTTTGGCAGCATAAAATGCCGTGGCACTGCAGAGCACCGACTTCACATCACGAGCCTTTGATATACCGTGCTTTAATGCCTGTTATTTTTTAGAAGGAACAACTGTTATTTCGTTATTAAGTGTTATGTTATTTCTAAACGAACTGTTGTAAAGCAACAGATAGTTAAATAAGAGCCCATCTATATCGGAATTTTATTTTAATGTTCAGATTTTATAGAAATTACAGACATTACAATATACCGAACTATACATAATTTATTGAACTATGATACTTCTTTCTTCTCTAAGTTCTATTCAGTGTATAATTAATTAGATTTATTGTTTATTAGATACAGCTGAGGAGTACAGGTCTCACCGATCCCCACATCGCAGAAATCTGTGCTGCACTTACCGTTTTGGCCAAATACGGCATTCTTGGTGTCGGATTAGGTTTGGGAGGAGCCCATGCAGGGGCATTGCCCGTTTCGAGTTACCTCAGCGTTATGGAACAAGCTGGAGCAAATGCCGCCAGCACTGGAGTGTTTGGAGCTATTGGACAAGTTAGTTTGGGTGAATGTTTAGGTAAATAGCAGCTTTATATTTACACAATTTATTTTTGTACAAGGTTCAAATTATTGTTGCTGGTTTATATTATACCAAAAAAATGAAAGGGTGGTGCGTAGCACAGTTTTTTTAATACCCAGCTATTCAACTTTACCTCTTTTTTCATAATCCACTTGACACCTACTGCGCTTCCTTTACTTTTTCTAGTTTTTAACCAAGCTTTAATGGAGCTCAGAATTTGACTTATTTTATAATATATAAATGGAGATCTAGGTAGGATCACAGATTATTCACTACCAGTTAGTCATCTAGGCTTGTTTTTGGGTATATATGTTTCCTCTAATCTGCTTTTTGTAGTACTTATACCTGCGGACCTCTATAATTTTATAAATACAGCTTCAACGGAGCTTATAACTCGACTTCGGTGGATATACAGAGTCGTCACAGAACGATGGGTACACAGAGTTTCATGGAAATCATCATAATTTTGACTTATGAATAGGCTGTCATAAGACCCCAAACTTCAATGTATCATCAGTTGTCCGCTAGGTAGTGAACACTCTGTATTAATAAAATAAAATTGCATATAACGTTCTGATTGTTGTAAATGGTAGATATATTACAGACAAATGGAAAAGTTGCCAAAAAGACCGGTAGCATCGAAATTATTTAATTATAAATGATACCAAGTAAACTTTTAGTTACGTAATCCAGGGCGCGATTTTTAAATTCATTGTTGTCATTCATGGGCATATTCGGCGCCGGGCTGACTAACTGGAATTTAAATTTCCCGCTGGGGATTCAGGTGGTAACTCCGCTGTCCGAAAAATGTCAAATCCCCACATTTATTTATTTATTTCCTGACATTGTCATTCGTTTTGACACTTTAGTTTTGTATTACGAGTTTTTGGTTTAAATGAATTGTGTTGTGATACTTTAGGCTTAAAAATTTTTACTAGCAGACTTTGAAGTTGAATATTGTTCTCTTTAGAACCTCTTTTAGTGTGATGTGTACAAGATAGCTTAATAACCGTTGCAAAAAACTCAATGCAACCTTATTAGAATATTTTGAACGGGAAAGCGGTAGTAATTGCCCTTCAAGTGCCGTTAAGAAGGTTAGTTTTGTTGATGTAAATAACAGCTGTTTATATATTTATAATTAATTTTTCTTGATTTTTGTGAATGTCAAATGTCAATCCCAAAATCTCATTTAAATCGGAATAACTATTCTTATAATATCTGAAAAAATGTGTTTATTTTTTTAAAGTTTAATGCACTCTAGCGGACAAACGAAGCACTTTTGTATAGAGGTAAATTGTACCTAATGAACTTACTTCGATTCCAAAAATACGTATGTAGTAGTTCTATGTCCACGGAATATTGGGACACTCTGTATAAAGCACTAAGTACAACGGCTGTTAAATTGTATTAAAAAAAATTCTCAACAGAGACACACTGCCCATTTTTATACATTTGTTATATAACAAGAAATACTGTTTATCTCGAAATAATGATTTTGGCACTTAGAACATTATTTATTTAATGTTTTAAAACACTTAAACCTCTATGTCTAAATTTCATCTTTATTACAATATCAACGCCCTTGTGTCGACTGAATCTAAGTAGTTTTGTCATGCGGAAATTATAGTTATGCAGTTACTATATAAACCATTACCATTTGTTCAAAATCTCAACGCATTTCAAATTATCGAGGAAAATTTAGCAATATATTATATGAGCCAAAAAACGACGAAAATAAATCGACCTACAGATACATTTTTCACAGCTTCTCGATCGCATCGAAGCATAATGTTTAGTTAACTGCATCTTATTGGATAAACGCCCAAAAATATTAAAATAGTGTATATAGTTCCGATAGTTGGCCAAACCATCTTAATTTTTCGTATTTCGTCAATTTCTAATAATACATTATATCGAATTATGAAAACGTTTGGTGTTAATTTTTTTGGGGGCGATGCTACGTGGGTCGCAATTTGTGAATATATGTTGCATAAAACGATAGAAATAGTTTCTAAATTTATTTTCTATGTGAACGATTTCCAAAATTATTTCTACATATTATTAATATATCGAATAGATTTTCTAAAAGAAGGTTAATATTCTAGTCGTCTACTGATTTACTCTGTCTACAGACAGTGAATAACAATTACTAGATTTAATTTAATATTGCAAGAAATATTATTTTTGTACTGTTTTCTAACTATAGAGTTTTTTTGCGGCTATTAAGCTATCTTGTACACTTCGCACTAAAAGAGGTTCTAAGATACTAGAAAGAACGATGTTCCACTGCAAGGTCTGCTGGTAAAAAATTTAAAGCTTAAAATATCACAACAAAATTCATTTAAACCAAAAACTCAAAATACAAAACTAAAATGTCAAGACGAATGACAATGTCGGGAAATAAATAAATAAATGTGACAACTTGACATTTTTTACAACAGAGCTACCACTTGAATCCCCAGCGGGAAATTTAAATTCCAGTTAGTCAGTCCGGCAACGAAAATTCAACAATGTTGCCATGATGTGACGATTTTTAAATTCATTGTTGCCAAAATGAAAAAACTGTTTTAAAAATCGTGCCCTAGATTACGTAACTAAAAGTTTAATTGGTATCAAATATATACAGATCGTACTCCATAGTTTTATTTCCTCTCATTCAAAACTTGAACTAAGCTTTCATCGTCAGTCAAATTCTTTTCATTTTCTATTGTATCATTCAATCTGTTTATATTGACAGTTTTACTTGTCGTATCGAAAATCAAGAACTGGGCTAATAAACATGTTGTTCACGTTGAATAAAAATATTTAGGAAGCGGTATAATGCTATCCATGTATTCATGTATGGTAGACAGAATCGACAACATAGTCCCCATCCTTGACAGCTCTATTTGACGTTTCAATTCAAACATTTGAATTTGATTTGATTTGAAATTTTGTGGATTTGTTTGTCTTTACTGAGCTTATTTTATGATATTTATTATTTATTCTACAATCGGTTTTGTTTAGAGGTAGTAAATCTAAAGTATAAAAGTACATTGTATTAGGCCTTAAATTAACTGTGACACTATTACGATTTACCGAATAAACTGTAAATAGTTAGTTTTACAGCGTGCAGTAGATTCTCGTCAAAAACCTAATCAAATAATTGAATAACTTTTCACTGTCATCCAATCACTCACATCCAATCGTTTAAGAAATTCACTTAAAATTATATAACTAATTATAAATTTTTTCATTTTTTCTTGCATTTTCTTACACATTTTCTTACAACTTGTGTGTCAAAAATAATTAAGATACTTGTGATATTAAATAATTATTGTCACTTATCTGTTTTTATTAGAACTATATTTTTAGAACAATTTTAATAGCTACTATATAACATTTATTGACAACGTAAAATAAAACCACAAATTATTGTGTCATATTTGAGTCTACCCTGCATTATATTTTTACATGTTTTAAATAACATTATAGTCTGTCCATCGACAAGATTCTTGACAGTGATAGATGTGTCTGTCATTTTAATTTCAAAGTAGTTTATTTTATTTTACAAAAAAATAAGTTGGTACAACTGGAACGCATAGCAGGAAATTAATATATTTAAAATTTAACTGATGAGTGAAAAAACTGTATAAAAGTGAAGAAAATGTAAATCGAGTTATTTTATTTAAAAAAACAGTATGTGTTACAAAACAAACAAAAACAAAACACAACATACCAAAAAAATATAAAAAAGAACTATTTCTTACTTTCAAGCTTCAAGAAACTTCCCGCATTTATTATTATATTTATCAATATAACTTATGTATAAATACAAATCTGTAATATTCCACAGGAATAAATAAAACAAACTATTTTATATATTAATAATAATACTTACGAGATGCACTTATCTACGAGATGGTACACAAACTTTATTGATGGTAACTTTATTGGTGTAAGCCCACGGCCACACAGAAAGCGTTTTTAGCGTTTTGCGTTTTTTGCGTCTCAAGCGCTTTTTGCGATTTTATCGTTTTAAGCGTTTTTATCGATTTGTGTCCATTAAAAACACGCAATGGACGCGGCAGGTTTGCAGTTTCTATCAAGATGTCAATTAGTAACGTCGGTCGCAAGCTCGTGGATTCCCGGCCCGTCCAACAATCAATCCTGTGAGAAAGAGATAGGCGAGATCGACGCCGTTAGCGTTGAATAGACGAAGATAAAAGATGCTGGGATTGAATTGTGGACGGGCCGGGGCATATATTCGTAGACAAACACAATATACTGCTAGTGCCAGTGGTGTGTGTAAAAATAATAATTATTATTTGCCATTTATATTACGAATTTTAGTTTATATGTGTATAGTTTTTTTATATTGTAGTGCTGTGGTTAGTACTTGTCATAATTATAATATAATATAATAAATAATTATTATTATATAATAGAATAGTAAATATTTCTAGTTGCTAATGCAATTTTAGGATATGATTTATGAAACATTTTGGAGTAAAACTTCTTTACGCGCTCTGGGAGTAAAAATTCAAGGCCGTGACATACGAGCTAGTGAGACGGCCTTGACACACGAGCTCGTTGTAACTACGTGTTAACGGGTTAGAAATACGTAGTGACGCGACGTGTATTTGTGATCAGTACACGTGTTTATCAAAAATATAATACAAATTTTGTAAAAGTGAATCAAAATTACGTGTAAAAAAACATTTGTTACACGTAAAAAACTATTTTTATTATTTTACGCGAATAAAACTGTTACACGTAATAAACTATTTTTTACGCGTATAAAACTATTTGTTACTGGTAGAAAACTATTTTTACGCGTATAAAACTATTTGTTACTGGTAGAAAACTATTTTTTACGCGTATAAAACTATTTGTTACTGGTAGAAAACTATTTTTTACGCATATAAAACTATTTGTTAAGTGTAAAAATATATTTGTTACACGTAAAAAACTATTTTTTTCGCGTCAAAAACTTATTGTTTCTGGTAGAAAAACTTTCTTACGCAAAAAAAAATATTTTTTACGTGTAAAAAATTATTTGTTACACGTAAAAAAATATTTTTTTACGCGTCAGAAACTTATTGTTTCTGGGTTTTTGGTAAAAAACTTTTTTACCCAAAAAAAAATTTTACGTATAAAAACCTATTTGTTACACGTAAAAAACTAATTTTTACGCGTCAAGAACTTATTGTTTCTGGGTTTCTGGTAAAAAAACTTTTTTACCCAAAAAAAAAAATTACGTGTAAAAAACTATTTGTTACACGTAAAAAACTAATTTTTACGCGTCAAAAACTTATTGTTTCTGGGTTTCTGGTAAAAAAACGTTTTTACCCAAAAAAAATGTTTTTTACTTGTAAAAAACTATTTGTTACACGTAAAAAACTAATTTTTACGCGTCAAGAACTTATTGTTTCTGGTAAAAAAACTCTTGTTAGGCAAAAAAAAAATTACGTGTAAAGAACTATTTGTTACACGTAAAAAACTAATTTATACCTGTCAAACTTTTTTACCCAAAAAGAAATTTACGTGTAAAACTTTTTTACGCAGAAAAAACACTTTTTACGCATAAAAAACTATTTTTTACGCGTAAGAAAATATTTAATGTATTACTTTTTCAAGATTTCAAGCTAAACTTTTTCAAACATTTTCTTCAAATTTTTGAATTTAATAGAATCTTCCTAAACAGTAGATGTTCTTTATAAAATTATTTTTAGATAATACCCTAAGATGAAAAAAATGCATACTATTTAATTTGTTTTTATTGTATTATTAAATATAATACAATACAAGTCCGCCTATGATGGGGTCTCATCTTAGAAAACGCTAAAGACGCTACAGAAAACAAACTGATTTGTATTCCTTTGCGTTTTTTGCGAGATATGTCGAACGTTACATGCTTTTGGTGTGCCCACTCCTATATAATCCTGTTCCTGTCCAGTTTGTTTTAGTCGCTAAAGACGCTTCACGCTAAAAACGCAAAAAACGCTTTCTGTGTGGCCGTGGGCTAACTTTCTGCCTGGGCAGCGAGTATTAACTATAAACTGTGCTCTGGGTCACAGTTAATTTACCCTCGATTTTTCTTCCAGTTGACTTCAAAAGACACAAAACACACGTAATAACACGATTCAAAATGCATCATCTTCCAAAATGCAGATATTTGACATAAATTGACACAAAATTATAACCTATAATTTGGCAAGACTTGACAAGCCTCAAAAATCTAAAGGCGAGTTCATCCGCATCGGCGTCCGTTTGTCGTTCATCGTTCCGTCAAATCAATAAAATTGAAGTACGATGTGTCATTTTTGAAATAAACTAATAAAACTGGTTAAAAACAACAAGAGACGACGCATGACGGATTTATATTTAAACCCATCCATAGTCAACTTAAAAAATGTTAGAAACTTTTTTTAGTAAAATAAATAAATTGGTATGGGATGTCATTTGCTTTTCTTCTGTCGAAATCTTACCTGAGAAAAAAAACAGAGTAAAGAACAGCGCTGATAAAGCTAGATCATGCATTATTGCTCCAATCACTACAAATGAGGTTAAAAGCTTTTGAAACAAACCAGAAGCAAAACAACAATTATTGCAACTATTCTTATTGATCTTTCCTAAAAATCGATTTATTTAAATAAATTATTGTGATAACTGTAATATTTTTACAGGTACGAATTCGCCAACTCCACGGGCCAGTCTGGAACGGTACGAGTCAGCTTTCGACCCCTTTAGGCACCAAGCATCGGCCGCCACTGCTCCTATTTCTCTGAACAATAACAGTTTTGGTTTGGGTACTAATCCACAGGTGGCGGTACTGAGCAAAAGCCCTACGCCCGCTGAACTCAATGGGCAGAAGGAGACGAAAAATGTAGAAATTCCCGAAGTTATTGTTGGCGCCATTTTGGGTAAGAAATAGTAGATTGCGAATATATCTAATATATCCAAAAAAGTCCTATGGGTATTTCGCCACTGGAAGAAAATCTGACAAATAAAATAATTATTTTTTGTAAACACTGATGCGTTAACCCAACGGAGACTAATTGTCAGCAGTGGCTTTCTAATGAAAAAATTTGCCTAACGGATAAAAAAATGCTTAACTTTTCGGAAAGTTTCTCTCTTTCCGTCGTCGGAAGCAAAAAAAATACATAGAACAAAGAAAAAAACTATTTAAAATATCTAAATGCAACTAATCGAGATCACTTTAGTTTTTTTTAAACAGATACGTCTACGAAAACCATTGATGTTCTATTAAAATAATATTATATCAAGTTAAACTTCAAAATTAACCAAAAAGCTTTAAAACTTTCTCTATGATTATTTTTAATTTGTTTTTATTTTTTACGTATATTACGTTTATTTATGTTGTGTTCTTTAAAATCAAAGAAGGGATTGCCATACATTACTAACATCTATAGATGCATGAGAAATACATTTATTTTTATTAGATTGTATTAAAAAGCCTCTTTTATCTTTCTTTTAGAGGCTATCGCTTTTTTCATTACTATTTTTGCATTGTTAAAATCTATTCTGTACCCTGTGTCTCATGAATGCTGACAAATCTTAGATTTGTGAAAGTCGTCCTTTCCTTTGATTTTAAAGAACATAACATAAATAAACATAACATACGTAAAAATTAAAAATAATCATACAGAGAGTTAAAGCTTTTTAGTTTTATCTTATTCAGTAATTGTTATCAGGTAGTAATTGTTAATTTTGAAGTTTAACTTGATATAATGTCATTTTAACACAACGTCAACTTTTGTAGACGTATCTGTTTTAAAAAACTAAAGTGATCTCGAATCCCAAATAGTTGCATTTAGATATTTTAAATAGTTCTTTTTCTTTGTTCTTTGTATTTTTTTGCTTCCGACGACGGAAAGAGATATACTTTCCGAAACATTAAGCATTTTTTTGTCCGTTAGGCAAATTTGTTCATTAAATCGCTTCCCCTCTTCTCTAACAAAAAAAAGGTTAACGCAGAAGTGTTTCCAAAAAATAACTATTTTATTTTGTAGATTTTCTTCAAGTGACGAAATACCCATAGGACTTTTTTGGATAGATCAATCCGCCACATAGGTCTAGACATTTTTTATATCTAATATGTCCAAAAATTAAAGTAAAATAGTCGTAATTCACCATCACACAGACGGGATGTATAACGTAAAATACTGTTACTAATTTATTTTACATTATTTTCTATAGGTCCTGGCGGTCGTTCCCTAGTCGAAATCCAGCAGATCAGCGGCGCCAACATTCAGATATCGAAAAAGGGCATTTTCGCCCCGGGAACGCGCAACCGCATTGTCACGATCACCGGCAACCAGCATTCCATCTCGACTGCGACTTACCTGATCGAGACGCGCATCAGCGAGGAGGAGATGAAGCGGGCTCGCAACAACGGCCTCGGCACCCTCACGATGCAGTGATAGCGGCGACGCGTGCAGGCGTAGACGCGACGTCAGTCTACGCATCAGTCGGTGCACCGTTTGCGCATCGGTCTTGTTAGCCGACTGCGCAGCTACTCGCCGACCGCTCCTTTATATATACACACATACTATTTGTATATGATTTTTTCCCTTATTTTGTTTTTGTGGCGTAGATTATTATTGTTTTATTTTTTCGTACGTTAAAATTTTAAAGTGTTTTAAATGAAAATAAAGTATATTGTTACGAAACCGTGAATCGAGGCTGTTATGAACACTTTTTAAAAATTGTTGAATTTTCGAGATGTTTAAATTGATTGATTGATTCTTTGTCTTTTTTGGCATATTATTTTAAATTAAAATTATTATTCTCTCGGGAGTTATTTTATGAACTTTGTAGATTTAAGTGTTTTTTTCTTGTTTGATAATCGCCAGATAGAATAACCAACATTCATGTAACAAAACATTAATTTAACAAGGGTGCATTAAATATGAACCTGCATATTTATTGAAAATTAAAATTTATTTTTTAAATTTATGTTCTTTAAAGTTAGAATTGTTTATATTTGATCGTTATTATTATTATTGGTCATAACATTAATATTACACAATAGCACTAAGGGGCCCCCTCTCAGAAAGAAATGTATAATTAAGATAAAATAAAATTGTCACATAAAATTTAGAAATTAATAATACTAATCGAAATAGAAAATCAGATCAATCCAAGTCTATTTCGTTCCACAGCCACATTACCATTCAACAAAAATTTAATTTAAATCTATTACTTTTCTTAAATATTATCACTACCCTCACAGACTCAATCTCTAGATGTGCCACTGATTGTACTATAATTTCGTTATTATTGAAAATTTTACAAATGCAATATTGTTCTTTACTAAGAGTATTCAAAGTAAAGGATTCAAATCAAATATAAAATATTTTAAATCCAATTCATATATTCAGGATATTTGTCAGGCATCAAAGTGTCAACTAATGTCATATATTATATAAACCTTAAACTATTCACTTGTTAGGTATTTATTTCAAGTACTGCAATATTTGCTAATTAATTAAAAAATATATGTTAAAAGTTTCAGTGTGTTGTGTTATTCTATGCGGCGATTGAGGCTTTTTTAATTAATTGTGGGTGAAGTTTTGAAGGTCCCAATGTGAAATTGTAAAAGGGCTCAAGATTAACCCTTTCTGGATTGGTGTATATATTTTTAACAGATTTTATTTTTAGAGAAAAATAGCAAATATTAATTGTTACCTGAATGATTTGTATCTTTTAAAGTTGATCTGATTTTAGAAGGATATAAAAATAGATATAGTAAATTTCTAATTAAAAAAAATTGTGATGATCATCGCGCATTCATCTCATTTTATTACAATAGCTAAGCTGCATTTTCATCTTTGCATACATTTTAATTGTTAATTAGTCTACTACTATAGAATGAAAACTTTTAACTTTTTATACTTAGGTTGTTTTATCCCAATGCAGTCCTGGACGATGTTCTGAACGATGCCATTTGGAATTCCGATTATTCAGAAAAAAATATTTCAGTTTTTCTCTAATTTGGGTGAGCCGGTGTGTTTTGAAGATGGCTATAATCAAAAATAAATATATCGTTATGTCGACAACCGACAATTTTAATGTTGCTGAGAATTTTAAAAACCCGACTCTTTGGGAAATAAAATACAGGCAGAGAAGAAATATATTAAATGTAATAAAATAGGCATTTTGGCATTTCACAGATTTATAATATTGTATAAAGAATTTTGGGTTCTTAAACTGTGCTCAAAGCTTCAAAGAATATTTAAAATGCTCAAAGTGGCGATTACTATAAACAAATGTATATAAAAATAATTATTATTGTTGCTATTGTTGAATTCTCTCTCTGCCCAAAAAAATGTATATATTAACAATATTATTCCATCTATATATGAAAAAATCAAAATAATGTTGCTATATTTAGATGAATATATTTATTGTTAATTTATACCCTTGTTTATGTATTAACTAGTTATTCAGCGTGAGTTAATTCTGAAAGTTCATTGATAGATGACTACATTAAGCGGGACAATCGCAAGAACGGTAAACATATTAGGTTAATAATTCTTATTAGTTTACCATTTTTGCAGTTATCCCACTTAATTAGAAACTCAAATTTTTGAAAGACCCGCGATGCAATTCTCGTAGCCATCTATCAGTGAACTCCCAGAACTAACTCACGCTGAATAACTAGTTAATATCTAAACAAGGTTTATACAGTCTAAACCTGTCTAAACCAATTTCTTTCTGTGATTGGAGGATTTGGTTAAGTACGTTCCAAATTAAGTACCTGTATTTCAACCTCATACATAGCAATTTCTATTTACGGCAAATATAGAGAAGAATATATTTAAAAGTTATATTTAAAATCGCATACAAAAACAAAATAAAATATCTTGCGCTTTAGTTTTAAAGCAAGTTACCAATCGGGATGATTGACAATAGGGGGGCATATTTTATATATATTTTTTTTAATTAGTTGATTTATTTTTGAAATATATTAACTGAAATTTATTTAAAAATATTTTGCGATATTACGACATACGTTTTGAACATTTCAATCTTAAAGAATTAAATATAACGAGGCACAAAAATCCAGCGTTTGGTCTTCTTTTGTTGATTTGATAAAATATATTAAGACATAATATTATTAATTACTTTTTGTAGCAGTGACCAAGATGCATATTGGGTAGTATATATTATATATCCAATACATACAATAAGATCATTTTTAGAAGGAAGAGCTCTATCCAAGATCATAAATTATTATTAAAACTTAAAAAAAATAATAACTTGAGACATTGAAGAAAATATTACATATACATAAATAAAAAATACATTTATGATTCTTTAAATATGTTACAATTATTCCGTATTGATTCTAAAAGAATTTCGGACTTCTATTGTCTATTGTCTGTTATAGTACGAGAGCTAGCAACGTCGGAAAAACAAGTATTTTAAGACGTCTGCATCTTTGATATACCTTTTTCTTTTACTATGCTCTCTAGAACAGCATGCGGCCCGTCTGGCTGCCGGTAAACGTTGCGTTCTCTACTGCGCATTGTAAGAAGATCCTATATTTTTATTAGTCCTTTAAATTCTATTATTGAATATTAATCGAACATGTCTCCATAGCGCAGTGCATAGAGTTTCAGACCACGAACCGATTATTCAGAGTTCGAATCCGGGTCAGGTCAAAGACTTTTTTATTTTATTTTCGTTTATATTCTGATAGTAAAGTATTAATTATTTATTTTTGAATCACCATAATTATTTTCTAATACTTTACTATCAGAATATAAACGAAAATAAAATAAAAAAAAGTCTTTGACCTGACCCGGATTCGAACTCTGAATCTTCGGTTCGTGGTCGGAAACTCTACGCACTGCGCTATGGAGACATGTTCGATTTATATTCAATACTAGAATTTATAGGACTAAATTAATAAAAAATATAGGATCTTCTTTCGATGCGCAGTAGTGAACGCAACGGGTATCGGCAGCCAGACGATGCTGTTCCAGAGAGCATAGTAAAATATATATCAAAGAGCCAGACGTCTTAAAATACTTTCTCGAAAACGTTGCTAGCTCTTAGACTATTATTAATGAAGAAAATAAAGGTCCGAATTTTATATTTATACAGGATGAGTATTAAATAAGTGTAAATATTTTCAGGGCTTGTAGATCTCCATAAAAGAAATATATTTTCTCTTTACCGTTTTTCAAATACATACATACTGCTATTACTCGCTGACGAGTATTTGACACACATCAGAAGATGGTTACGCAAAGCGTTTTCTTTCATGATCTTTTCTGTGACTGAAAAGCCCGATACGTGGTGTTATCTCTCTACCGCACTACGGACATTCAAAAATCTCATTGCTTTGTTGCCTCTACTTTTTGGTTGTCGTTGTTAACTGAGTTTACAATTCTTCTCCATTGCGTTCTATTTTGCGCTGCTTCTTCCCACTTATTCTGTTAATTAATGTTAATATCCTTTAAGTTTTTTGGGAAAATATCCAATATGGTTTTTCAAAAATAATTTTTCAGATAAGTCCAAAATAACCGGGATATTGAAAATTGAAACTTTGAAAATTAAAAAAAAATATTTTTCGCTTACATTTTGAGAACCGCTGGATCAATTCTATGTTTTCTTTCTTGTAAATTTAATCTACTATCTATGGTGCCATATCATGAAGATATTATGTTTTTTAACAAAACATTAAAACATTTCCAATTTTTTTTCTCGCAAAAGAAACCTCATAGACGCGTTTCTGGGGTATAATACCCCTAAAAATATTTGAATTTATTTAAGACTCACCCCGTATAATTTGAGAAAAAAATGTATACATATTTATCAATTATTTGAATGTTAAGGATACATATACTTGGCAATAATTTGTATCGTGTTCGATTATTTCGTTAGATTTAGAGAAATTTTATGATTAGTTTGGTTTGGATCAGTGAACTTGCTATCCAAACCAAACCAAAACAAACGTTTACCTTAGCTTGAAATGGTCTTTTCGTTTGTGTTACTCAAGATAGACCATATTTTTGAGATTTTTGTATTAACTCAGTTTTACGGCATTATTTTAACGATAAAAATATTAACCAAACCAAGACAAAGATAGATAAACCTTGATTTAACTTCGAAGTAAAGAATAAAAAAATTGCATCATACATGTTATCCTTGGTTAAATAATAATATTGCTACAACAGGTAATTATGAATATTTATGTGTATTGAAAGCATATTAATACAGAGAGTTATGGCAAGGAACCAAATAAGAAAATATTTGTGTGATACGCGGAATAGTCCACCCTTAAAACGTCAACAAGGTTTTACAAATTTTGGGAATAAATAATATTAGGCATGACATTGCGTTATTTTGTAAATACTAAGCTAATATTCAAGATTATCGCTGTTATTTCTTATAGAATATATAATAAATATATTTAAAATCTATATATTACACATTAAAAGAGAGATAAGTGTAATTCAATTATATTATATACTGTTATCGCATGTTGTTAATGTTGTTAATGTTTCTGGAAGTCCTCATTAATGCTGTACACGATATTTTTACGGATGCCATTTTTGGTAGATTTGTTTAGTCACATGCGTTAGTCAGATTCTTCATACGCGGTTTTATAAGATCTGTTTGTTAAGTATGTCTCGAAAAACGAAAAATATATTTCATTTACAAAT